TGGTGGAAATTAGGTCGTGAGCACTTCGATATAATATTAAAAATGCAATATTTTGATTTCGTTTGATATCCCGTAATGAACTCAAAAATTGAGACAAAATAAGAAAAATCTTTTATATATTTTGGAACGTCTTAGTTCAAAGAGTGCTAATTTTTGCTACGGTTGGCCGTTTCGTACTCCATTAGAATTGGTGGAAATTAGGTCGTGAGCACTTCGATATAATATTAAAAATGCAATATTTCGACTTCATTTGATGTCTCCATAATAATTTCAAAAATTGAGATTAAAAAAAAAACTTTAAACAAGGGCTGTCTGCGTTGACAGCCCTTCAAAAAAATAAAAAAAAATTTAATTAAAAGTTGGCTTTGTGTGCCAAAACCAACGTGCAGGAGAGCAAAACTGTGGACAGCAAATCTTAAATCGGTATCTCAAGCATAGGATATGGGTCGAGCAAAAAACTTCGCGATCAAGAAGAATAATTAGTGCGTTACCATTTCGGTATATGGAATCATCGTAAAAAAACTTATTCCACTATCAAAATACATATAAGAGATTCTTTTTTAAAATATAAAAACTCAAAAGAATTTTAAACAGTTGCCATCCATGCTGATATCTGGACAGCGCGAGTCACGTTCTCTCTGATCTCATCAACACAACACCGAAAAGCTCAGTACACTGCACACACACGGTGAAATCATGCCTTCCCACCTGAAACGCAGCCCTAAACCCATCTTCACTCTCATCTTCTTCTTGATCCTCTGCTGCCTCACCTCCGGTCGCTTCATATCCGACAGTCCAGATTTCATCTCCGATGGGATACAAACACGCGCCTCCGGCGCTGTCCCGTCCTTCCTCCGGCTGTACGGGGCTGAGGAAGCCTGCGAACAGACCTATGGGTTCATGCCGTGCACCACCACTGCACTGGGAAATGTCTTCCTAATTATAGTGTATGGTTACTTAATGTTCCTTGCCGCTACTTATCTTTCCAACGGAAGTGAGCTTTTACTTGAAATCCTCGGCCCTGGAATTGTAGGCGGTCTTTTGCTCCCCATGCTCGGTGCTCTTCCCGATGCTATGCTTATTCTTGGTATTTTTCTCCTTTTTTTCTGAATTCTGTTTTACATATGTTGTATTCGCTCCGCATCTAGTGTAGAAAAAATGATTTCACGCTGGGAAAGTCTCATTTATACCGTGCAATTGCTAATCAATACAAGGTTGATGAATTGAAATTTGATTCACTTACTCTGGAGCTCTTTACTCGTTAATCTTGCTAAGTTGTTTACTTCTGTACGATTGGTGATAAAAGAGTAAAAATAAGAGGGGTTGAGGATGAGATCTCACCATTAATGTTTTGTCTAAACGACTGAAAATGAAGAATTTCGGATTTGTCATTTTTCTTATGCTATAGATTCTTGTAAATGTTGCATCAATCACCCCTCCAATATTATTTCCAATCAACAAATCTACATCTTCCTGTTGCTTATTTATTATTTCTTCTTTTCAGTATCTGGCTTATCTGGAAGCACAGAAACTGCTCAAAGCCAGGTATCAGTTGGAATGGGATTGCTAGCTGGGTCGACGGTCATGCTTCTTACTCTGGTATGGGGCACCTGTATTGTCGTTGGCAAGTGTGACTTGCTGAATAATGTTGCTATAGACTTACAAGATACAAAAGGCTTCAATTTAACTGGTTTGTCTCTATCTTTACTCCAAGACATACTTTCAAAATATAACATGGCGCCTGTTTAATTGGAAAACCCACAAATGTCTATGTGCAGTTCTTTTTTGTTAGTTGCTTTGAGTTCTTGATGTTTGTGTCACTGTCAGTTTGCAATATGAAATTTTCGAGCTATGCTTGAATTGGGAACATATGTTTGTTTTGTGCCCAAAATGTGCGGAAAGAATGTTAAAGAACTTTTCATCATGAAGTGGTGAAGTTCAAACGATACTGTTTAATTAACAATAAGATCATACAAGTTAACAAACAGCTTTTACGGCTGTGACAAGAACAGTATTGACCTTTCCACTGTGTAGGTTGCAAACTCAGAAGTTTACTTGACAAGCTTTGATCATCTTCTTTCCCCTTCTGTTATCCTTCTCTATCTTTCATTTGTTTCTTTTTCATCTTCTTCATCCTTTTGTGTTTCATATCATTAGTCCTTTTAGTAGGTAATAATTTCCATTAAAATCGTCTCGATTAGTTCAACTTCCCTTCTCCAACCCTCCCAATTTCTAGGGGGATTGGGGTAATTTGATTAGTATTGGTTTGACAAGATAATAGGGCAGCTGCTTTACTTTTAACATTTTGTTATTAGATGCATACCGTCTTAAGAAGCCATTCTCTTGGCTTTTTGTCTCTAAAGTGGAAATTATTTACAAAGTTTTGCTTCTGATGGAAGTCTATCTAGTTTACAGTTTTACTTTTCCATGCAGGCTCTGGCGTTTCTACTGATATCTGGACAAGCTATGCTGGCATTATCATGGCTCTATCTGTGATTCCTTTCGTAGTTGTCCAAATATCGTCAATACTCCATTCATATTCAGGAAGACACTTGACTGTCTTGATTGCTCTTATTCTCTCTGTTTCACTTCTGATATCCTATTGCCTTTACCAGGTATTATCTCATTCTGGCATATAGATTTGCCTATGTCTTCACTGCATATCTTGGTATTGCATTTTTCAGTTATCACTTATCATTCAAATACATGGGAGAATCTTCTTTTGGCTTAATGGGGGCTAGGTTCCCAAGCTTTGAGAATTGCTATTGAAAACTTACTTGATTGGTGTACAATGTTCGTATCCATGACCATACTAAAATGATGTCACTAAATTTTATTTTGTTCAGCTTTTACTATCCTTAGCTAATGAGATTTCTCTTGAAAACACCATTTTCTGATCCCAATATATTTTAATTATTCTCAGAGCTCTATTTATTTTTGAGAATATCCTTTAAATATTATCACAACTCCCAATGTGGGCTACTGTTGACTTTTCCAGTATTTCTCTAACCAACCGTAATTTGTTGTTTTAAATTGGAAAGACTAGTTCAATAGTAAACATATGCAATTTATTAGGAACTTAATATGCTAAAATTTTCAGTGATACTGTTGGCGAAATTCAGCGTTTTTAGAACTCAAAGTTCAGCTATTGAACTTGTAAATCATCAATCCAAAAAAATCTTTTTGACTTTAATTGTTACACAGTTTTCATAAACATATGCAAGTACGCCTGTACTATGGCAAGTAGAGAGAAGCAAGCTAACAAAGTTCAGTATTTTCACTGTTTGTCATTTTAAATATTCTCCACGTTTACCCTGTTAGAAAAAAAATATGTTGAGACTTCAGTGTTATGTCATCTGTGCCATTTTTTTGGATTTATTAATTGAATCATAATGATCACTTCTTTCTCTTTTTCTTAATTATGTTTGATATACTCAACTTACTTTTTAAACCTTTTGTATAGGTTTTTCAGCCCTGGATTCAGAGGAGACGGCTTGCTTATGCAAAGTATAAGCATGTCATATCAGGAATCTTGAAAGATTTGAACACGCGTGCCTTCGGAAAGCTTTCCACTGATGATGGGAAGCCTAATATAGAAGTATTGGCAAAGTAACTTTATTGCTTTCTCCACTCTGTTATGCCTGCGTCTGGCATTTAATACCCCTTTTACTCATGCCCTTTCCATTAATGTTTTATGTTCTCTAACATGACAGTCTGTTCAAGGCAATTGACGAAAATGATGACAGATACCTTTCACGTTCTGAATTTAAAGCACTAATTGTAGGAATCCATCTCAATGAGATTAATTTGGATGAGAATGATGCTGTTGATAAAGTCATGAGGGATTTTGATACCACTCTTGATGCTAGAGTCAGTTTGGAGGAGTTCATTCATGGAGTTGACAGATGGCTTCAAGAGGCTAAGGATGCTAAAGTTTCAAAACATGCTGGTCCTGGTTATATAGATTATTTTCATGAGGTACTTTGCCATTTCATAGGCGTTTCTATTCTGTAATTGTTAATTAGATAAGGAATTCATGGAAAGTTTGTTGCAGCAAACAAAGAGAGAACATAATCTTTTGGGAGAACAAAGTGATGAGATTGTTGAGGCTGTTGAGAATCCCCGATTGACTTCATTTAAAGCTGTAATGTTGTTGGTGCTGGGAGCTGCTATTGCAGCAGTATTTGCCGATCCTCTGGTAGATGCTGTCGACAATTTCTCCAGTGCCACTAGCATTCCTTCTTTTTTCATCTCATTCATTGCTCTTCCGTTGGCTACCAACTCCAGCGAGGCAGTGTCTGCAATTATATTTGCTAGCAGGAAAAAGTTCAGATCTGCCTCCTTGACATTTTCAGAGGTACGTTTCTTTCCCTCAAGTTCTCTGTAGCAAGTATTCATATTAGAATAATGCTAGTTGTACATAATGAAGTTACATACAGATGACGTCTCAAAAAGAGAGTTGAAAGTTTTTTTTTATTTGGTTGAAGAATTTCTGATCCAATCTTATTTCACCACATTATGTGTATGTAAACAATTATGTACATGTAGAATAACTGTTCATATTAACAAGGAATATCGGCGAAATTGCACTCCAGATTGTGTTCTGCAAAATTTTACAACCCGAACATTGATGTAGTAGAAGGAATGCACTTTTCAATTCTTGTAGTTGATGCAATGGCTATCGATCTGTTGCTGTTGTTCAAATGGCATTTTTTCCCCCAAATTTCAGTTCGAATTCAACATACCTAGTTTTGATCACAAAATCCAAACCAACTTTTACTATAACAATTAGATCTTGGAGCAAAATGGAAAGAAATGAAAGAAAACATGAGAAATACTGTTGGCGATGCACCTTGATGTAGTTCATTCAGAATCACGTTACCGCTGATCAACATGTCAAACTTGGTTGAACATTCTCACACCCCCCAGCCTCCATTACTACTACTATTTAGTTTATAAAAAAATGGAAGACACGATAAACACGTCAGCGCTGGTTGAACATACTCGACTGACATTTATAGACCACAACTTTCGTCTTCCTAGAACAACGTTGCAGACCATCACCTCTTTTGTAATGTTCTTTTGTAGAGCCAGTGTCACAAGAGGAGCCATCCAGGTAGAACAAGAATTTTTAACATTACTTTTTATTGACTAACAGAGGGTTTTGAAATTTTCCAGAAAATATCACCGTTCTGTTTCTTGTGAATGAATTGGATTGTTTCTGGACAAAGATAATTTAGCCCCAAAAAATTTCAATGCTTGCAAGTTTATCACTTCACCTCATGTATTCTCATAGTGCCGTAGAAATATAATGTGTTAAAATTTGTCTGCTTTTTAGCATTTAAAGACGCGACTTTGTACAGATGTCTGTTTAAATGACTCGTGACTAGTGAGCATGTAAAGTAATCTAAGTTGAGAATAGTTGCTATGAACTCTGATCAATCCATCATAATAAGCGAAGAAAATGAAAAAATTATTTGTCGAGGTAATGTATCTGACCTCTGTTTATTCCCTTGTTTCAGATATATGGAGCCGTTACAATGAACAATGTATTGTGTCTGTCAGTATTCTTGGCCATTGTTTATGTGAGAGGACTAATCTGGGACTTCTCGTCTGAAGTGTTGGTCATTTTGATTGTGTGCATTGTGATGGGAGTCTTCGCCAGCATTCGCACCACTTTTCCCCTTTGGACTTCTCTAATTGCTTTCCTGCTGTACCCGTTTTCTCTGGCGCTAGTATATGTTCTTGATTACGTGTTTGGTTGGTCTTAAAGCCGTTCTGGGGGCAATGTATCAACAGTCTCATTGAGGTAATAAGCAGTTCATATGGTCTCAAGCTGTCTAGTTGTAATTGTGGTATTTATCAATTTCAGCTTGGCGTAATCTTGTATATTGTACCTTTTGATATATGTGTGTGTTCGTTTGTTCTGTCTTCCTACTTACTGTTGATTTCTACCTGTGTTACTCGACTTACTGTTAATTTGAATTGAGCAATCGATTTTTTATTTTATTTCTCCATTTTGAAAGTTGACGCTTGACACGGCTTGGAATCTATTATAAATTTAAAGCATCTTCCATGAATTTTATATGTTGTTATCTAGGCAATCTACCACTCCATTACGGTGTGTGGATATCTTTTAAAAACTTGAAATAGAAAAATTACATTTAAATTTTAATAAAAATATGTATATAGTTCTGCTTCTGCATAAGAAATTTAGATTTTAATTCCTACCTTGGCATAACTTCTTTTGCACGACCGCGGCCATTGAAAATGACACAACCAACACCAACAATTTCGTAAGTTCGAAAATCAATACATGTCTTGAAAGTTTGGAAGTATCATGTTTTTCTAAAGAGAGAAATGAACAATCATGCTTCTTGCACAATCTTGATTGACAACTTACATTTGACAATATTACATTCAATCCATTTTAAAAACTATTTTTTAAATCAATATTCCGGATGTTGACAAATATCAACGTTGTCAACCATGATGGTCAACAACAATTGTACAAATAGGTTAATTCAGAAAAAGACTTCAAAATGAAGCAACTACATTCCAAAATGAAGCAACTACATTCCAACCAGATTTATCAGGCAAATAGCTAACACGTCACAATCTGCACCTAACTTCTAATACATGAATTTCAGATTATGCATGAAAATACACAGTATAACAATGTCTAATCGAAAGGTCCAATGAGAAGAAAAGGCATCATCAGCTCCATAAAATCTCTCACATGTAAAGTTTGTTGCTGACAGAGGGCGCCGAACTTGTCCACCAACTGCAAATGAAACCGACAAATACCCAAAAATTGGTAGAGCAACCAACAAAGTTGTTTTTGCATAAAAATGCAATGCTGCTCCAGTCATCACTTTGCTCACATGCCCATCATCTCATCCAGTAAAGATCCAACATAAGATTAAGATCCACAAGTCACGCAAAACTATTTTAGAAAAAAGCAACCACAAGTCGAAACCATGACAAAATTGACAAGCTCTTTTGGAGAGAGTGTAGGCTTGGCCCGATGAAATTGCCGAAAGACATGAGCAAATCTCTATAATTTTAGACTGAGATCAACTGGTTCCGCTATTTTACCAATGCCATCCCTGGCACTGATTGTTGCACGATCAATTTCCACCTTAGTTGGGAAGAAGCTAAAAGGAGGTTGTTCTATTAATCGACTTGATCCTGGCCTTTGGATCGCATCTTTGGTGAATTCCTATAACAATGGAACAGCACAGAAATATTAAAGCAGAGACCATCATATGAATCTATTCGACCTAAAACAAAGCAGTAAATTCAATCAAAAGAGGCATAGAATGTAAATAATTTTTGTTGCACACCTGACTGGACGGACACCCAAATTCAAATAATTCCTCCTCCCGGTAGCCTGAATATGCCAGAGGATGCTTATATTTTACGTTCAAAGGCTGGGTAGCGGGGGCAGGAGGAGCCAATGTGAGAAAGTCGCCGTTCAGTTCTTTGTTTTCTCTGATTACACCACTAGCATTTTTCTCGGGCAGGGGACTTATGTTTGGAGCGTCATCTCTGCAAAAGCAGTTCAAGAAACTGTCAGCATAAATTAGAGAATCACAACTTATTTTTCTTGAGAGGAACAATATGTCGATAGTAAATGAACCTGATATGTTTAGTGCTTGGTTCAAGATGATTTGTGCATCCATTGCTACAAGAAGCCGATTCATCTGATCGGGATATTGAAGTAAAATGCGCAGGTTGAGATTTGCACTGACAAGAAGGGGCTGTTGGACTTTCTGGAGAGAATGGATATGACCTTTTCATGCCAACCATCTACATTGCATCAAAACCTATTCAGATATTTCCTACTGCAAACTGATCGATCTTATTATAATAAATGAAGGAAAATGAAGTTCATAACAATCCACCATTTTAAAATCAGAGCTTTGAATGATTTCGAAAGAAGAGTCACTACAAGTCTACAATAACGATGAAGAAACGAAACGTATAACAAGTCAGAACATGAACATATCCTAAAATCTCCAGGTTTCATACTCAAATTACAACAAAACTAGAACTCTCTTCTCAAGGACAAATCAGATTAAACCATCCTGCTTTATCATATGAAATCGTCTGATGGAAATTTAGTATGTTCTGCTAGATTTCAGTCCATGAAACAAATTAGTCTTCTTGTTTATATAAGTGAATGCAAAAATAGGGATACCTTCTCTTCCTTTGGCGACAAGGGTGCACAATTGTTATCACAAAAACTTTGGTTTGAAGGGGGCTCCATCTGAAACTTCAGTACAGATGATGATGAAGTCCCTGAAGAGACGTTCACCTGCAATTGCCACATGGATTATTTTTATCAAGATTTTTATCAATAGAAAAATAAACACCATATTTAAAAACTACACATGAACTCATTCTTGTAAACTGCAATAAATATCAGGAGTTATTTTTTGCTAACCATTGACGAAGGAGGGTGATGATATTGATGTGATCTTTGTGGAAGAGGCAAAACTAGGGCATTTGATTCGTATGGAAAGTTTACACGAGGCCAAAATGCAAATCTACGATGATCTAACATTCGACCTTCCCCTTCAAGATTCTGCTCACCATTCCACAATCTAGGCCACTTGCCCTGCCCAGGACCTGAAATGGCAGGCAAACCTACTTCATTTTCTCCTATATTCAAAGGTTTGGACAATTGAACTGAATTCTGGTGTACAACTTCGACATTTTTGCTCAATTGGACAGGCCTATACAAGAAATTCGGTGAGGGAAGATCACTCGGTGATGGTGGTGGCAAGGGCGTTGAAGTTGAAGAAGGGCAAAGATTTGGCCTAAAACTGGGACATGGAATAGCTAAACATGCAGTAGAATCACTATGTGAACCAACTGCATTATTTGCAAAAACATTGGCTGCTTGTAAAGCTGCCTCCTTTTTCTGTTGTTCCTCCAACCTCATTTTCTCAAGCTGGGCAACCCCTAATCCTCTCTGTGGGACTTTTTTTTGCTTAATCTTCTTTGATATACTCCCACCACCACCACCACCATCCACCCCTCCTCCTACTCCACCACCTCCATCTCATGGAATCTATTTGTAGACGGATCAGATGGGGAAACAGGTTCAGGTGCAGGCGTCGTCCTTGTAAGCCCGGAAGGTCACAAGTTGAACAGTGCTGTACGGTTCTACTTTAAAGCAACAAACAATGCAGCGGGATATGAGGCCCTCCTCGCTAGCTTAAGGCTAGCTAAAGAAATGCAAGTAAAGAGGTTCCACATCAGCAGCGATTCTCAACTTATTGTGGGACAAGTGAATGGCAACTTTGTAACCCGGGATAAAGCCATGGCCTCCTGCCATTGTCTACCAGCATTCGTCTCAGTCCGTTTCTAGCTATTACAGCCCTTACCACCATGGCGTCACAATGTGGGTAGTGAACAATATGTAAAGGAAAAAAAATCCAGAAATCATACTGAATACACATAGGGAGGTGAGCAGGCCCGATTCTGGTCCGAGGCGGATGAGGCCACCGCCTCGGGCCCAAAACAGGAGGGGGCCTCATTTTTTGCCCCCCCTCCCCCCCCTTTTTTTATTTTAAATGAGGCCCGCCTAGCCCAAGTTCAACACTGGAGGGCCTCACAATTTTGGGCCTTTTTTTTTTTTTTAAACCTAAACTTTTTTTTTTTTGTTTAACCTAAACTAAACATCACACTTTCACAGAAAACATTCCATCTCCTTCCCCGGTTTCCCCCACTCGCTTCTACCTCTCAACTCTCAATCTCCACAATACATTCAACTCTCCAATTCAACCGGCTTTCCCTAACTTACTAACTTACCGCGCCGTTCGATTCGTCCACCCGCGAGGTCGCGATTGCCGACTGCTCTAAGCGAGAGTCGAGACTGCAATTTTGCGAGTTCGATCCTCGCTTTCTCGTCAGTTATTAAAAGGTTTGTGTTTTTACATTTCCGTTCTATGAATTTTTATTTTGTTGATTTTAAATTTTTATGTTCGTATTATTCCAGAATCTTGGGAATTTTAAATTTTTATGTCCGTATTATTCTAGAATTACTTGTGTCTTCTAGAGACTAGAATCTTTGTGCTTGGTTTGGGTGATTGGTGATGTTGCAGAGATTGTTTGTGTCTTATTCCTTCTTCGAGTAAACATTTAGGTTACAGTTTCTATCTTGTACATGCTCAAGTGGACTAACAGTGATTGGAAATGGAAGTCGACCACTCTCAAGAGGTGAAAGTTGAGAACTTTCAGTAGGAGACAATCCATAATTAAAACTAGTGGATGAAATAACTAGAGGTTCAGGAGACTCATAAGGCTGAACATCAATATAAAGTGCTACTAAAGGTTGAGGTTGAGAATCTGAGATATAGAAGGAAATTAGAATAGAAATATTAGGCTCAACATATCAAAACTGATCTTCAACACGTTTACTCTCCCACTGGAAAGTTTCAGTTAAAAAAAATGAAAATTTTGAGACATTGAAGTCATTTACAAGTTTTACTAGTAATATCATTATTGGGATATCTAGTAATGGCCTTACATGAAGTGGAATTAGAGAAATGAGTTTCTTTTTGCATTGGTTCCCAGAACTGATGCTATATTGGCGAGTCAAGATGGCTCAGTTCCTTGTTTATTTACTTGTATTCTATTTTGTAGGTTGTGAAACTGATGAAAAAGAAGGGCACTTGTGTTGCTTCTGTTGAAAGTGTTGGTGCTGGTGATATAGTATCAATGGCTGGGTTGGCAAGTCCAGCAATAGGGCACACAATATCAACTGTTGTCATTCAGATTCAAAAAGGTTCTGCCAGCCTGCCAAAGGGATTTTAGTTGTGTACTTTATTATGTAAAAAATTATTTAATGTTGTTTATCTATGAATGATTTGTGAATGATTCAATTTCAGGCTCGTAAGAACTAAGATGCAACGCTACTGCTGGAGTAGGGCTTCATTCCACATTTTCTGTCGATTTTCTACTTCTCAAGTAAGCAATGGTTTCCTCTAACTGGTTATTGAAAATGTTTGAAGCCTTGTCGGCTTATATAATTGTGGCATGGTCGGCTTGTATGATATTAGATTGTAGCGTGTATGATCAATTGCACAGGCGCACGTAGTCATTGTATTTAACTGATTGTTTGAACCTTGTCGGTTTTGTTACTTTATAATATAAATATTTTGTTCTTTATATTTGTTTGTTGTTCTACTCGTCAGTGTTAAGTTAGCAATATGTTGCATAATGCACTGTTGAATTTTGCATTTACGTTGATCTTTGGGGGGGGCCCCATTTTTGGGAGTTCGCCTCGGGCCTTTGAAATCACAGGACCGGCCCTGCCTCTACCACCTCCATCTCCGAGGTTACCACAACCGGCCTCTCCAGTACTAAAACTGCACCTTAGCATATGTTCTTCCCGTGTCATTGTCCCTCACAGGCATCAAAATTAACAAAAAAATCTTGGTTTTAAAGAGAAACCCAAATACCCTAATATATATAGCAAGCCATCCAACAAATCCACACCATATTTCTAAGATACCCAAATCCTCAAAACACAATCTGGGTTCAAGAAAGATTCGAATGAAAATCTAAGAGAAAAAATAAGCCTCTTTAAATAGAAAGAAGAACAGCCCGCATTTGCTGTATATATCCTCACACAACTATATATACATGTAGAGGGAGATAGAGAGAAAGGAAAACAGCAATTAAGATAGAGAAAATAGGGGAGAGTATCTGTGGGCATCGGATTTTTCTCAACCCCATTTGTTAAGAATTTTGTCGGATCAATCATATATGGGAACAAAAATTAAGGAAATAAAATTCACATTTCAAAATTCAGACTCAAATCTAAATCTAAGTCAAGCTATTTGAATGCTTTACCTCTCTCCCCTTCTCATTTATCGCCAAAATCCTCGCTCCACTCCTCCTTTCCTTCTAGACCGACTCTTTCTCTCTCTTCATACTTTATTTAGCTTCTTCATTTCATTAACATAGCCAATTGGGGTTTTCCAAAATCAGCACAATATCACTCGGACAGGGCAAGCCTTGATGATGCACGTTTCTGGCGACACTACGTTTGACTAACGGTATTTTAGTGTACAAAACATCAGCGTTTCAATTTTTTACATTTTCAACCCTATTTTCATGTTTCATTACGAAAATCATCATTTTCATCTATTTTTTCAATTAAAAACTGTAAAATGATGAAAACGCCCTCCAATTTAAATAAAACAAAAAGAAAAGAAAAGAAAAAAATAAAGAACGAATTAAAATAATAGTCCCAAAATTTCAAAAGATCACAAATGGATCCTCAATGTATAATTAAAAATCCAATCTATGTAAAAAATTCAGGCCAACCACCACCCTTGAATCTTAAAAACTCTAGCCAACTACCACCCAAACAATCGGAACTCCATACCATTAGACAACTCTCGCTCTCCTCTACACATACAACCCAGCCACCAGCCCTAACGTCACCATATTTGGCTGAAATCGATGGCCAAAATCAGTAACTTGTCAACACAAAAACCAACTACTTCACCTTCTCAGGCGAGACCCATGCCCTTTCCTTCATATCGATTGACTATACTTATCAGGGCACATATATTCATGGTCTTGCAACATCAACAAATCGACACGATCAAAATTTACAACCCCTTTTTTCGAATCAAGCGAAAATGCAACTTTTAGTCCCGATTTTCAGCGCCGATGGTAGGACCCATGATCACGGACCACCCATTATGGCATCATCTGATCACAATGTAGCAATTCCACATATGGGTCTTCAACAATTCAGCCTCCATATGAAAGATCGAACATGGATAGTAAATGCGTGCGAGGAAGATTTTAGCCATTGATTTCGACCAAATCTGGTAACGTTAGTGCTGGTGGTTGGCTGGTATGCGTAGAGAGGAGTGATGACTGTCTAATGGTATGAAATTCCGATGGTTTGGGTGGTGGTTGGCCTGAGTTTTTTGTGTATGTTGGATTTTTAATTATAATTTGGGGGACTCATTTGTTATCTTTTGAAATTTCGTGACTATAATTTTAATTTTAATTTGTTCTTTTCTTTTTGTTTTATTATAAATAGGAGGGCGTTTTCGTCATTTTACAGCTTTACATTGAAAAAATAGATGAAAAGAATGATTTCCGCAATAAAACGAGAAAATAAGAGTGAAAATGCCAAAAATTGAAATGTAAAGATGTTTTGCACATTGAAGGCTAAATGTATGGACGTTTTGTGCTAATAAGCTATATATTTAAAGTTATTTACTAGTTCCTTATATATAAATTTATTCTAAAAATAAGTAAATAAAAAAATTATTATTTTGTGGATAAAAATTAAAAAATAAGTCACTCGTTTATTAGAATTACTTTCTCAATAAGTAATGATTTTAACTTAAAAAATTAAAAAAGTAGTTCTATTAATTTTTAAGTTTAATCAGATGTTAAAAATCACAAGGCACACATTTCATGTGGAGTTATCAACTAAAAACACGAGAAATTGAAGAAAAAGAAATGTCCGTTTTCATTTTCTTTGAGATACATAAAGAGAGGGAGTGAGAGGGTGAAAATCTCAAAGCCGGCGAATTTGGTCATAAAATTTATTTAGCCCATGTTTGACGGGGATTTAAATCAGATTTTTAACAAATTTTGATAGAAATTGATAAAATATGTGGTTAAAAAGTTATGGATATGATGAAATATATAATTAAAATTAATTATATATTTATATTAAAATTTTAATTTTAATTCTTACCGAACATGAACTTATTTAACTTTTCATTCAGATTTTAATCCCTACAAAACATGAACTTATCTAACTCTTCGCTATGAACGAATTACAAGTTCACTCCGAAGAACGATCACAAAGAAAGTCACTTCCAAAAGGCGACTCTTGTATATTTGGGCCTATTGGACCTTAGAACAAATGACTAAAAGTTATTTTAGAAATAATAATAA